CCACATCGACGGCGACTCCCCCATGCCTCCCCCCCGTCCGGCCACAGCCCCTGCATGCACCAAGTCACCCTCCACTGGAGAGCCCTCCAAGTTGGGAAAGCGTGCGGTCATGGAATCCATGAAATCGACCGAGCAGAGCTCCCCTGCTTCTTGCACACCTTGCCCCGGGAAGTAACAGCGGGTGTCCGAATCTCCGGTCGCCTCCGAAGTCCAGCAGGCATAGGAACAAATGTGGCAGGCCATGGTCCCCTCGGGAATATCTCGGAATTTCCGGGCTCCGAAGAAAAAGTTTTCCTGGGAAAAGGTGGGTTGACGCATATTTTTCTGTCATTGCTCATGTTCATGCATCATGCCTGCAACATAACCAGCAGCAGGCAGCTTCCTCCTGAACAAGCCCCTTTCTCCCCTCACCTTTTTCAACCAGCCCTCCGTGTTCCGAAGGTCGCTCGCGTAGAATGGGACGTTTCCAGCGGCCATCACGAACTGGAAACTTTCCAGATTGTCGGGGTTTTCGATAAACTTCATGCTTTCACAGAAGGGAATGGAGAGGTTGTAGCAGGCCAGGGGCATCTGGGGAGGGAGAGGGGGAGGGAGCGAGGGAAGGAGGGAGGAAGGAAGGAAGGAAGGAAGGAAGGAAGGAAGAAAAGAAAAAGGGCAAGGGGGTGGCGAGAAGAAGCAAAAAAAGCAAGTGAGTAGACAATATCCGTGGATTTTGGCATACCGCGCAAGGTAATTGGGGGCCGTGAGACGGGACGCGTTGAGGTTCGCAGGTACCTGGGTGATGACGTCACCCATGCCGTAGTTCAAGCCTCGCTGGACCGGCTCGTTCAGTTGACCCGAACCGACGTAAACGGCTCGTCGAAGGTTCACGTTGGCATTCAAGAAATCTGTGAAAGTGCGATCGCCCACTTGGGGAGAGCTGGAAGGGCCAAAAGACGGGGAGGGAGGGAGGTAGAGGAGGTAAACGTGAGCGAGGGAAGTGTGTTAGTGGCCCCGAAGGTAGAAAAGAAGTGAGAATGCGCGATGGAGAAAAGAAGAGCGTGGTTTTCGCCAAGAAGAGTGATGCCGGGGCGATGCACAGGGTAGAAATGAGAGTGAGGGAAGGATGAAAGGGAGGGAGGGAGGGAGGGAGGGAGGGAGGGAGGGAGGGAGGGAAGCGATGGGAACGGCGTACCCGAAGGTCACACAATCGATCTTTAAATGCCGATGATGCTTGAC